CTGCCACACTTGACGCCATCAATGATGCCACCTGGCTGATCCGTCTCGTTGGGGGGTCTTCCTCTTTCTCTGACCCTTCACCTTACCCAGCATGACATCCTTCTCTAACAACTGTTCCCACCTGACAATATGTCCAAAGTATGAGAGACGAAGCTTAGCCATCCTGGCCTCCAACGAGCACTATGGCTACACTTCTTCCAAAACAGATCTATTGGTTCTTTTGGCAGTCCATGGCACTTTTAGTATTCTCCTCCAACACCACAACTCAAAGGCATCAATTCTTCTACGATCTTCCTTATTCACTGTCCAGCTTTCGCATCCATATGAGGTTATTGAAAATACCATGGCTTGGGTCAGGTGCACCTTAGTCCTCAAGCTGACATCTCTGCTCCTCAACACTTTAAAAAGTTCCTGTGCAGCAGATTTTCCCAGTGCAATATGTCATCTGATCTCTTGACTACTGCTTCCATGAGTGTTGATAGTTGATCCAAGAAGAATGAAGTCCTTGACAATTTCAATCTTTTCTCCATTGATAAGAATGTTGTTTATTGATCCAGTGGTGAGGATTTTTGTTTTCCTGACACTGAGATGTAACCCATACCAAAGGCTGTGCTCTTTGATCTTCATCAGTAAATGTTTCAAGTCCTCTTCACTTTCAGCAAGCAAGGTTGTACCATCTGCATATCGCAGGTTGTTAATGAGTCTTCCTCCAATCCTGTTGCCACGTCTTTCTTCATAGAACCAATCTTCTCAGATTATTTGCTCAGTATACAGGTTGAATAAGTATGGTGAAAGAACACAACCTTGTCTCACACCTTTCGCAATTTTAAAACATTCAGTGTTCCCATGCTCTGTTTGAACAACTGCTTCTTGGTCCAGGTACAGATTTCTCAGAAGTACAATGAAGTGTTCTGGAATATTCATACTTCTCAATGCCGTTTGTTTTGTTTTGTTTTCTATTTTATTGAAGAAATGAGAATGCTGACCCAAAAATTCATCTGGAAATAAAAAACAGTTAATAAAATTTTCTTTCATTGCAACGAATACAGTCCTGTCCAGGCACCCTTGGTTAACAGTATCTACCTCTATTCTTCCCTCCTCCCTTTTTTTTAATGTACACAAAACACACAGAAACATAATTCATTTTAAATGTCCAAAGGGCACGTTTTGTAAGCCAGCTTCTGGCCACAAGCACACAGCCTTTCTTATTCCATGGTTCTAAAGTTCTCCTCTACTCTGTCTCTCTATGCCATTGCCTCTGCTTCAGTCTTTGTCACCACGAGGACTTTGACATGAAGAATCCTTCACTTTCAGTAGTAATTTTGAACACTCCATCCATAAACAAAGTTCCAGTTCATCAAATTGTAGCAATTTATGCTTACTTCTTATATCAAACTTCTTTATCTTCCTCTGGTCGAGTTCTCATCAGCAAGCTATGCAAGCAAGGTCAAATGGGTAACACCTGCAAGTTTGGGCCCTCTTGCACACCTCCCCCCCTTAGGACAGCTGGACCATTCACTTTCACTCCTAGCCCCCACTGGTTAGGTCAGTGTCCATGGATTCGGGAGATCACAAGCCTCCCTAAACTTCAAACTGGCCAGCCCTTCCTCTTCCCACTCTCATCTCAAGGTCAACAAAATGGAAATGGGGGAAATGCTGAACCCAATCCATGTCTTCATTGCTGCATTTCCCCCATTTCCATTCACAAGCACACCAGGGCAGTCATCAGTGAGCTTACAAGTCTGTTCCTGAATTCCCTTTGAGTTTTAGTCTTGGAAGAGGGGTTTATCCTGATGAACAGACTTTTCTTGCCTTGATGGCTCTCAGGTGAACAGCTTGCTTGATCCTGTAACAGACAAACAGTCTACTCTTTTTTTTTTTTCTGCTGGCCTTCCCCTCAAGAAATATCTTCTGTTCTTCTAGCCACTCTGGGTTCTTCTGCATATCCTTTCAAGTAAGAATATCCCACATCAGAAGGTTCTGAGTGGGGATCAGAATTCTACCTAAGGCCCCATAATCCACAAAAGCTTAACAAGAAGCCTATTACACTGGGCAAATTCTATTTCCCCTTTTAGCTAATCCAATCAGTTATAGGCTGAGGACAGGCTTACAAGCTTTCTGTAATCATATTTCCCAGCATTCCTTTCTATCTCACTTAAATGTCTATTGTATAATTGTAGGCAGGGGAAACCAATATCCACAAGACAGCCAAGCACCATAACATTATTCCCCATCCTTTACCCGTTCAGACTCTACCACTCATCTGACCATTTGTCATACTGTGGTGGCTTACATGTTGCTGTGATTCTGGAAGCTATGCCAAAAGAACAAACCAATCTGTGTTGGATGGAAGAAGTACAACCAGAATGTTCCCTGTAAGCCAGTATGGACAGACTTCTTCTCTTATACTGCTGACATACTGTCAGGAGGGACCAGTCCCTGGAGAAGGATACCATGTTTAGTAAAATAAAAGGTCAGAGAAAAAGAGGAACCCCCAATAAGATGGATTGGCAAACTGGCAGTAGTGATGAACTCAAATATATCAACGATTGTGAAGTTGGTGTAGAATGGGGCAGTATTTCATTTTGTTGTGCATAGAGTTGTTATGAGTCAGTACCAATGCCATGGCATATAACAACAACAGTAGACCATTCAGACTATGTCTCGATCCCTGTGTCACAGAACCCTTTTGTTCCAAGGTTAACAATAGTTACTGTTTACTTCTAACCCATTTAGACCATACAAACCTCCATATGTCTTCCTCTGTATTCCTTGTCCATCTATACCCCTCTCCCTTCTTGTATACTGCCCTCTCCCTTGCCTGAGCTATCAAATGTCTATCACCTGTACCTGTACCTTCTTTGGTGTGAAGCTGTCCCCACTCAGGAGAAGTTTCTTCATCTCCATGTGCTTTGTAGTTGCTACTAGTTGATGTTGAGTCAGCTCCAGCTCATGGTGACCTTATGTGTAACAGAGTGAAACATTGCTCGTCTTGTGCCATCCTCAATTGTTGGTATGTTTGATCCCATTGTTGTGAGGATTTCCATAATTTTCACTAACCTTCTCTTTAACAAACCTGATGGCTTTTTGTAGCTACTAGTCTTTCTAGCTACTGATGATATGTCTAATGCAAGCGAGCTGTGGTCTCGCTATCCTTGCTTTTAAAGAATGTTCTTGTTGTAACATATGCTGTACTGGAATGTAAATCCATTATAGGGCAGGGATGAGAAGTCCTTCTAGAGAGGAAACTGCTGAAAGTGAAGGCTTTGGAAGGCTTTTGTATGAAGGAATCTGCTTTCCTCAGCTGAGGGTGTCTAGCAGAAGCCAGCAAAGAATGATCTGGGCATTTTAGGGATTCTTGACTCATCTGTGTCTACCCCAATGATCTACACTCAGAAATATCAAAGTCTTATTCCTTCTAATAAGTGTTCTTCCCTTACCAAAAGAGGCTGTCATTCGGTTGTGTGTGGTAACTTGCTGTGACACTTCTATAGGTCTTATGATTGTTCTGTTAACCACAACCCACACTCATGAGCAAAGGCTGCTACAAAGACAGAGCAAAAGCTGCATTGTCACCTGTTTCAAGTTGAGAATTCATGAATTAGAATATGTCCATTCTCTTTTCTAGTTCCCAGTCATCAGAGGCAGCCACCCTAACCTACTTTTTTTAAATTGTAAAAATATATACAATGAAACTATAAAAAGTTTTTGGGAAAGTCCATTCTTTTTTAATTCCATCTTCCACAACACTACTGAAGCCCCTTCCTACAACACAATACTTGCCAATTTTAATGTCACTCATGTATATCATTTAGTGGCAACAATGATATTAATTATGTTGCACAACCATCACCGATAGCCACTGACAAATCTTCACCACCGTATATGGCCACTCAATGCTTGTTCAACAATGATGTTCCATTGCCACTTAAATCCTGCCTGGTAACCACACACACACATGTTGTGTCTATGCATTTGCCTATTCTAACTACTTCTTATGTGTGAATCCTACAGTATTTGTTTTTTGGTGGTTTATTTACTTCACTCAGCATGATATTTTGAAGGAGCATTGTAATATGTATCAGGCCTTCATTTCTCTTTATAGCTGAGCAATAGGTCTTGTATAGGTATGCCACATTTTTGTCCATTCATATTTAATACACATCTGGTTTGTTTATCTCTCTCTGCATGTGCACTCACATGTGCTCACACACTCATCTCTGATGTCTAAGGGATTCAAGAGCTGAGACCCTGAATCAGTTAGGTAGACTCTGTTTTAGACAATGGCCCCTCTAAGATGGCTGCCATTGAATAGATTCCAACCCATGGTGACCTCAACTCAAGGTGAACCCATGTGTGTGAGAGTAGACCTGTGCTCTATAGGCCTTTCAGTGGCTTAGGTTTCATGAGTAGATTCACTTGTGGTACCCCCATGTGTGTCAGAGTAGAGCTGTGCTCCACAGGGTTCTCAGTGGATTATTTTTCATAAGTAGATCCCATTCATGGTGCTCCCATGTGTGTCAGAGTAGAACTGTGCCACACAGGGTTTTCAATGGATGACTTTTCATAAGTAGAGTCCCTTCATGGTGACCCCGTGTGTTAGAAGAGAACTGTGCTCCACAGGGTTTATTTTGCCCCTCTCTTGTGTTACTTTTATCCATATAAACCTGAATATTGAGCTACAAGTGTGAGTTCACTTCAAGACCTGAATGATGTGTAAGGATCATAGTCTCTGGGGTTCTACCAGTCTCTTTATGACTTCTAAGTGTAGTGGGTTTTGTGTATTTGTTTTTAATCAATTTGAGTTTTCTTTCACATTTTTGTCCCGCTCTATTTAAACCCTCCTTATGTGATCCTTTTCAGAGTGGTCAGCTGTAGTAAATGGTACTATTCGTATTGTTTTCAAAGGCTGATTTTTTTTTTTTGGTAAGTTGATCGTCAAACCTCTCTTTCAAAGTGACTCAGTGAACTGGAGCCTCCAGAACATTTAGCAGTATGCATCATGCAGGGAATACTGGAGAGAAGAAGGTGTTGTGATATTGGCTAAACAGAAGCAGTAAAATAGAATCACACTAAAACAAAATTCATGGGAAACATATATTTATTTAAAGGAATCACAAGGTTAAGTGCAAACCATAATAGACAAGAGTTTTGACGAGATGGCAGCAGGAGTTTCCTTGGGGACAAGAGAGGAGCTAGAACATTCCATAAGAGGGATGTGAGCCAGAAAGACTGCTCCCGTTTCTGAAATCATCCAGAGGAGACGAGGGATGGGGAGGACCACATGCCCCTCTCACAGGTCTTGGGGCAGGCTTTTCCTATGTGAACTCTCCAGTTTCCACACTGCAGAGTAGATGAGTCCAGAGCTGTGACTCAGGGGTTTAGAACAAGGGTGGTTTTCTGCACAAAACATCTGATCCACAGGCGCCACTGAGGACTGTGGTGAAGCTCAGATCTTGCATTGGCAGCAGACAGGGACACAACTGCAGGACTGATCACATCCTGAAGAGCAGCAGCAAGGCTTGCAGCAGCTGGACTGACAACAACAGGGCTTGCAGCAGCTGGACTGACAGCAACAGGGTTGACCACAGCCTGAGGAACAGCCACAAGGTTTGCAGCAGCTGGACTGGCAGCAGGACTGTCCACAGCCTGAGGAGCAGCCACAGGGTTTGCAGCAGCTGGACTGGCAGCAGGACTGTCCACAGCCTGAAGAGCAGCTACAGGGCTTGCAGCAGCTGGACTGGCAGCAGTCACATGAGCCACAGCCCCCCTTGGAGCCCCCACAGGAGCCACAGCTGGAACAGGAACAGGCTGGCACACAGCAGCACATGGGCTTGCAGCAGCAAACAGGCACACAACAGCTGGAGC